CGTAGGTTGCAGCAGATAGGTTGCACGATTTGGTTTGCGCGCCTGCGGCGCGTGATCGCTCACATAATAAGCTGCGCGACCTAGATTGCACAATGTGCATTGCACCGCATACCACGCAGGACAAGTATTACACATCATGGGTTGCAGCATGTATACATGAGAAATATGTACATGTATGTGTACATATGTACACTGCATATATGCGCGCGTATGCATGCATTGAAAACGAAACGTATAAGCATGGAAATATGGTACCACATATACTTCATGTCATAACATCCATTGCAAAATATGCGCCAAACATGGACTGCGATAAGCGCGCTGACTGGGGGGGCGACGTTTAGCACGCGTCAAAGAAATTCAAATGCATGCAAAATTACACTGGATAAGCACCGTGAGTCTGACACGCGCATATGCGCTCATCCCATAAATCGACTACGGCACGGGAGCGCCAATGTGAATGTGCGCATGTATACGCACGCAAAACATGCACCAGACATCATGTGGAATTGGGACATCGTTTTGAAGAAAACGGCGCCCAGCGCCAGTCACTCGTTCCCCCTCTTCTCCACCCCCCCCCGCCTCTCATCCCTGCACCTGCCCCCCGCGCGCCCATCACAGCGCGCCCCATCACGCGGCTCGCGGCCCTATTGGGAGCCCCCCGTCGCCACCCGATCTTTCCAGGAGACAAGGCACGCGTGCCACTCGTTCTCCAGAAGCACATTGCCCTGAACCGCCATGACAGAGCATTCTCGTCGTCGTCATCGTCGTCGTCGTCAGTGTGCAAGAGGAGGCTGTCGTGAGCCGCCTGATCCGCGGCCCTGCGCGCGTTAGGTAATTTAGTCGCGTCCGCGGCTCGTTCGCGACCTTCCGCCGCTGGCGCTTCCGCCTGCGGCTGTAACAAAAAAAAAAAAAGTGCAAGAGGAGGGCCGGCAGCGGGGCGGCGGAGCGGCGGGCTGCCAGGACCATCCGCGTGAGCTGCTTCAGCTGGTCGCGCGTCGGCGGCGGGGCCGAGGCGGCAGCGCTGGGCGGGCGGGCGGCGGGTCGGGGCGCGCCGCGGTGCCAGGCTCGCGCAGCACGACGACGACGACGACGACGACGACGACGACGACGACGCTGGCGAGCACCAATCAGCACGGCCACGGCGACGGCGACGGCGACGGCGCCCCTGGAGTCGCGGCACGGCTCGGGTAGGGGAAGGGGGCGCGGGGCGATGGCGCAGGGGCGAGGAGGAGAGCTGGGGAAGGGGCCCGGGACCTTGCCGGGGAGGCGAGCGGGGGAGGCGAGCGGAAGAGGGGGGGGAAGCGGGGACCACGACTAGGTCGGGCCTGTCCCCCTACAGGGAGGTTGTGGACTTGGCTATTTTTGTCCCCCAAAAATCGTACCCATACTATTTCTTGGCTATTTTTGAGCACTCCTCCTGCAGAGGGACATGCCCGACTTCAGACCACGACCGAGGCTCGAGGCGGAAACATCGTGCCGACCTCGGACACCGCCCATCTCGGTGGGCGTCAGCTTGCGGAGCATCCTCGCGAAAATCGGCGACGGCCTGCCTGGACCGAGGCTGAGGTCGGCGCCGACCAGGCCCCGCGACACCTCGGCCACGGTCCGGGCGCTTCCTTCCCTCGAGGCCTGGAGCTGGGGCGGCGCAAGGGCGAGCGGCCTCTGGGGCCGCGGAGCTGGAGCCTGCTTACCGACTCAGGAGGAGGAGTTGGAGGAGGAGAAGGAGGAGGAGGAGGACAAGGAGAAGGAGGAGGAAGAAGAGGAGGAGAGGAGGAGGACAAGGAGGACAAGGACAAGGAGGAGGACAAGGACAAGGAGGACAAGGACAAGGACAAGGAGGAGAGAAGAAGAGAAGGAGGACAAAGACAAGAAGAAGGAGAGGAGGAGGAGGAGGAGGAGGAGGAGGAGGAGGACAAGGAGGAAGAAGAGGAGGAGGAGGAAGAAGAGGAGGAGGAAAAGGAGGAGGAGGACCAGTGTAAACCCAAAGGTCATCCACGATGTTGGAATAAACCCTCCCTCCAAGTTCCCCCTTCACAGGCCCCTACAACGGTTCATTCCCATTGAGGGAACTGCCTCATTAGAAGACAACCGCTCGAAGACCCTGAAGCATTCCAAAACATCGTTCTCGGGATTCCAACGCCGAACCTGAATCGTGCCAGAAAGCCATTTTTGAGACTTCAACACCGCGAACGAACGTAACTGTTGCACCCTCATAATCATGAATCCTTCCTAGACAATATTTCTGGTACTTTGATCATGGGAATCCGTGAAACGCTTGCAAATATTATCAACGAATATGCGCGGCGCCAAAGCGGGAGCCACATTTTAGAAAGGAACCGCCCTCAATCCGTGAAACTCTTGCACATGTTTAACACGAATGCGCGCGGCGTTAAGGCGAGAGCCACATGTTGAAAACGACCCGCCCTCAATCCGTGAAAATGTTGCCAATGCTCAAGCTCCAGTGTCATAAACGATGAGGAGGTCCCAGGCGAAATGCCCGGCCCGCCCTGAAAACTGGCTTCGGGGTGCGACAGGGAGAAGTTGCTTCTAAGGAAGAGGAATGGAGCCGACTCTGCCGCCGTGCCTTGGACCCTGGGGGCTGGTGCGTGGCCTCGGGGCCGTCGAGACGCGGCGCGAGGTGAGGAGCCCGCCCTGGGGAGGGGGTCGAGGCGTCCCGGAGGCCCTGCGCATCCAAACAATCGAAGCGCCAGATGCCCAGGGACCTGGATCCCAGGCCTGCTATAGAGAACAGTCCTGGACAACCCTGGCCAACCTGCCCAGCCAACCCCTCTGGCCAACCCCTCTGGCCAACTCTGGTTGGGGCAAGTCTTCCCGTAAGACATAGCACTCCTCGACCTTCGAAACTGGAGGAAGACGAGGAGTATGACAACGAGAACACGAATGGCATGAAAACGAAGCAACAGAGAAATAAGACGAAACACACATACTCAGAAATATCAGAAGTTATAACAGCGATGAGAAATGTGATGATGAATGCGTGAGGTCTGTGGAGGCTCCTGGAGATGTTGGCTCCTGGCCTGTGGGGATTCCACACGAGGCAAGAGGCCCTGGGAACGCGAGCGAGGAAGGGGCAGCGAGCGGGGGCGAGCGAACGCGCAGACCCAGAACCCTTCTCGGGTGCTTTTTGAAGAGCTTCCGAGCCACCTCGACCCGTCCTGGAGACTCTTGGACGCATGCTGGAGGCTTGGGGGACTTCGAGGGCCGTTTTGGAACCATCTGGGGTATTTCCTAAGCCATCTTGAAGTTTTGGGGTCGTTTCGGAGCCGTTTTGGGAGCCTAGATCGTCATTCGTTCTTCACAACGCGACAATCTCACGGGGACGTCAAAAAACATATGACGCCCGTCATCTCCTGGGTTGCGTCCCGACAAGAACCTCGAGGCGGACCCAGCTGTGGCGATGCGAAGCCCCCCTGGACGCTCCAAAGAGACTAGAAAGCGTCCAGAAACCAATCGATCCTTGACCCCTGTGTCCCGACAAGACCCTCGAGGCGGACCCAGCTGTGGCGATGCGAAGCCCCCCTGGACGCTCCAAAGAGACTAGAAAGCGTCCAGAAACCAATCGATCCTTGACCCCTGTGTCCCGACAAGACCCTCGAGGCGGACCCAGCTGTGGCGATGCGAAGCCCCCCTGGACGCTCCAAAGAGACTAGAAAGCGTCCAGAAACCAATCGATCCTTGACCCCTGTGTCCCGACAAGACCCTCGAGGCGGACCCAGCTGTGGCGATGCGAAGCCCCCCTGGACGCTCCAAAGAGACTAGAAAGCGTCCAGAAACCAATCGATCCTTGACCCCTGTGTCCCGACAAGACCCTCGAGGCGGACCCAGCTGTGGCGATGCGAAGCCCCCCTGGACGCTCCAAAGAGACTAGAAAGCGTCCAGAAACCAATCGATCCTTGACCCCTGTGTCCCGACAAGAACCTCGAGGCGGACCCAGCTGTGGCGATGCGAAGCCCCCCTGGACGCTCCAAAGAGACTAGAAAGCGTCCAAAAACCAGTCGATCCTTGACCCCTGCGTCTGGGATCATGGATCCCTGCGGCGGTGGCGGCGGTCTCCGACATGCGAGCCGCCGGCGGAAACGGCGGCCCGGAGAGGGGGCGAAGACGCTACAAAAAAAACCTCGACCAAGGAGCCCCGACCGCCGATCCCCGACCCTTGCGGCTGCGTCCCTCGATGCTTGACGACGGCGACGACGACGACGACGACGACGACGACGACGACGACGACGACGACGACGACGGCAACGACGGCGACGACGACGACGACGACGACGACGACGACGACGACGACGACGGCGGCGACGGCGGCGGCGGCGGCGGAGGCGGCCGCGGCGGCGACGGCCGCTGGGCCGTCGGCGACGACGTCTTCGACATCGACGCCGCGCACGTCGTCGACGACGACGACCACGTCGAGGGTGCCCGCGCCGACGGCGGCGTCCACGGCCACGTCGACGACGACGTCGACGGCCCGCCGCAGGCGGACCCACAAGGGCGGCGGTCCTCGCCGACGGCGGTGGCGCGGCGCCCACGAAGCCGAGGCTCTTGATGGCGGCGAGACTGGGTGTCAACTCCCTGGCTCTCTCGGCCGCCGCCACGGGCCGCCACCGGTCGGCGGCATCGGCCACCGCCACGCCGCGGGAGCCGCCACCGCCGCGCGCCAGCGCCGCTGCCTCGCCGAGGCTGGCGCTGGCAGCGGGCTGACCGCGGGCCGCTGCCGCCGATGCCACGCGCCGTCGCCGCTGCCGCCATAGCTGCCGCTGCCGCTGGCGCAAGCGCAGGCTACCACCGCCGTCGCCCCGCCGCCGCGGGCCATCGCTGCCGCTCCCCCCCAGGCAGCAAGCCCGAGGCCCCAGGATCGAAGGGCTCGATGGCCGAGGGCCCGGGGGAGGCTGCCTGGCCCCCTTCTGGGCTTCCTCGTCGCCACGGCCCGGGCCGCCTCGGAGGTCCTGTGCGGGCCGCGATGGAGGTCGAGGGCCTCG